TTATATTTGGAATGAGGTGAGCGTTAGTATATGTGGTTGGCTTATATTCGGGGGGGGGGGGCTTATAGTTTGGAAATGACAGAGCTATCAACAATATATTGTCTTCGTCGTTATTGTTATTTGTTGTTGTAAACACCAAATTAAATATCTCAAAAGTAAAACAAAAGTTATCTTCACCTCTTGACTGCGAAGATTTTTCGGCGGTTCTGTCCAAGTTCTTGAGCGAATGTCGGACACCGATTTCTCCGTGTCGGCCTCCTCTGGAAGCGATGTGTGCGACACATTACTCGTGGTAGACGTTGTCGGGACGCCAAAGTCGCTTACAGCGGGAAAGGACTGGGTAGTTCTGCTGTGTGTGAAGTGGGATACATTTCTTGCTTTGTAAAGCGAACTGAAGGCAGGTGGAGAATTTGCTTGAGGTCTGCCCGACAAATGGTTAGCACGGGAGGACAGGGATAGGGGATCGGAGGGGGATATAGGTGGATGCACCAGGGTTCTACGGGGTAACGTTGAATCACCTGTAAATAGATAGGCATAGATAATCGCATTGTGGTTAGATTTAGGAAGGACGGGTGACAAATACTGTTAGTGCACTGTCTCTTACTGCTCACTTAAGCCTGCTACTGTAAGTCGAGAGTAGGGTATTACTTTAGGAAAGCAAGGATGACAGATGTGGTTAGAGCGCTGTCTTTTACTGCTGAGTTAAGCCTGCCACTGTAAGTAGGTCGAGGGTAGGGTATTACCACTGGGTGTCACTTAGGATATGTAAGTATCTTGCTCTGACTTGATGTGTTTGGAAACCCACGTAAGTAGAGTTGTAGTTGGTTCTCTCCTGTGCTTCGAGGGTTCTCTCACCAAAAAGAACCCTACCACCTTAGCTGTGCTCAGACATGGGTTGGATGGTGTAAGTCAGAGGCACCGTGTTAACCCTTCGACTAAACTCTCACCTGAGTGAATAACGCGGTTACTATCCATAATCATCTCCAGAGTATCCGGCCGTACAACCGGTGCTGATTTCGGTCGGGTCGCTTTCTTTTTCGTGGCAGGAAATCGCACACCGAGATCTAATGACGTAATCTGATCGTCCGTGTTGGACTCCAAGGTACTGGAAAAGACTCCTGACGTAATCCGACGTCTGGCGTAGGTTGACGAAACTCCGACGGACATCGTACGATTTTGAGCGGTAATCGCAGCGTTCGGCATTATATCGGATTTTTGCGACACCGACATACACCGACGTGTTACGAGTTCTGGAGCACCTGTATGGTAAGAAATGAAAATCAGCGGGACAAAGCTTACGGGAGCAGGGAGGTCGCCACTCACCACAACCGAGTGTTTATCTCGTCATTAATATTAAATTGAATTTGTATACACACAAACAAACATGCATACCTGTGCCAGTTTGTGTGCCCGTAGTCCTTTCCTTATCTTCGTACAGCGGTGTAAGCGACGGCGAAGTATTTAACGGCGTGTTTGGAACGAAAATCGAAGAATTATCGTTCAACGATGCGATATCGTCCAATTCTGACTGCAAAGCGCTAGATAGATCGCTCGTTTCAACTTTCTCCGATCCTTGCAGAGCAGATAGGCTGTCCGCTAACATGGCTTCTTTGAATTCGGCTTTCCGACGAATGTTAGAGTCCTTCTTAATTTTATCGTCGACTTCGACAAGAAGGGATTCTAGTGGGCTAGCTCGTGATGATGCGATTGATTTCTGAACTTCAAGAATGAGAATGTTTGAGCTGAGCAGATCTTCGGTCTCCGCTTGAGAGAGTGTCGTCACTGCTGTACCGTTGACCTAGAGAGCAAGGATTGGTTTTTTACAAAGAAACCTCGCATCTTTCAAGAGTAAAGGCTCAGTTCAGATGTCAAAGTGGATGTATATGAGCTCAGACAATGAGCTGAAGTCAGTTACATTATTTATAGGTTCGGTACGTGGTAAGCGCGACATTTCAACTAACCTTATACGATTCCTAAAATCACAGTAAATGATATTTATGTGAAAACAGTGAGTAAACGCTCTCCCGAAAGTCTTGGGTTTTCTGCTGGTAATCCTGTTTCCTGCCACACGGAATGTTGGCAGGGTGGGTTGGGATTAGCCCCCTAACTGACCCTTCCACCGTAGCTGTACTACGTAATCAGACATGAATCATAAGGTGGCTGCCAGAGGCGCCTTCAGAAAGCCTTCGACTCATTCAGGTTGAGCTGGGTCCTTCCCAAATCAGCTTAGCTCTCAGCTGCAAGTAAGGATAATTAGCACACTCCCATTACTTTACGTTTTAAGCTAGTGATTCAATTACTTACAGTAACTATTTTGTCACCAACGGTTAGCCTTTCTTCCAAATCAGCCACACTTCCCGGTTTAATCCAGCTCACAGTTTTATTATTGTCGATTAAAATACCCAACTCTGAAAGACAATATAGTTGGGTAAAGCGCTACAGTGCAGAAAATTTCATTTCATTATTACAGTCTTGTTTATAGAATTGATATAGTTTAGTCCTCGCTTCGATATAAAGGTCGACACTTGTTGACCAGCGTCTGCTGTTCCACAATATTTTTCACTGAACCTTATAAAGTTTTGGGAACGAAATATGGTTATACCTTTTCCATAAGGGACAGTGAGGTGTATGGGAGAGGAATATCGTTTATTTTCGTTCAGCGGTTTCCGCCTTCTCACCGTCTACAATGAAAAATAATCGTCGTTTAGATTTTAGAACTGACAAAGCTAGCCAGTATAAATAAATTTACTTTAGTTTAACCAAATATCTGCAAGTACTCACAATATTTAAACTATCGCCTTCGTTTATAGCTTCGATAGCTTTCTCGTATTTCATCGTAGACACATCGACGTTATTAACTCGAAGCAAACAGTCGTTCACTCTGAAAGCAAATTATAAAATTTGTCAAGTCATCAGACATACGATTGTAATCCAAGAAGGAAAACTCATTCTCCTCCCATCCATCTATACCTTAATTTTCCATACGCCAGACTGTCTTTGACGACATTCGTCACAATGATGCTAGATTTACTGGCAGCCACGTCAAAACCAAGCTTTTCCTTCGCACTTCTCTGTTAAATTCAAAACATAGTCACGTCAGCATAGCAGGGTGCATGTTGCAAGCTGGAGACAGAGTGGGAAGGTGAATAAATTGGTGAAACGAAAAGGGGGTAAAGGCTTTTAGGGGAGAGAGAGAGGAATGAGAATAAATAAGGGGGGGGGGGTTGGAGGGGGGGATGTCCCCAATTCATTCATTGTTTTGGGTTGGGGGCCCGCCTCAAATTTCCCATTCTAAAGGCAGGCTGCAAGCCTCTCCAAGTTTTTTCCTTGCCTGATAGAACGAGATAATATCTATATCATCACATACGAAATTTCAAAATGAAATAACATATTCCTGTCCCAATATTTTCTTTTGGATTGGAGACCCCCTTGGTTGAGACCTGGACCCAAAATTCGTTTTTGCCTGAAACTTGAAATCGTTTAATAATAGTTTTTCAACAATATACCATCGTAATATACCATCGAATAAACAACAAAGAAAATCACTCTACCTTTTCCAGAGCAACCATCTCGGTTTCCCAATCCTGAAAAGCAATAAGAACCTAGTTTACTGTATATGCAAGGAATAACTCCAACAGGGTTATTTCTTGGTTAATGAGAAAATTTTTTACCAGAGTGTTTCTCGAGGGCTGATAAGTTGGCATGCTACTCACCGTACACGAATCAGTATCAATCGCGGAATCCATACTATTTACCACTCCCGCGCGGTCGTCGGTATCGAGCCTCAGTTTAATTCTCTCTCGAAGCGTCTTCAACTCTTCCATCGACTTGCTTTGCTCACGTCTGATCTGATCTGTATCCCTTAGCAACGCTGCTAGGTCACTCACTGCTCGGTCGCGTTCCCGTCTGAGCACGTCGCAACCTGCCTTGGCCGAATCCCTCTCCTGGAGCGAAAATAACGGAAAGAACATAAATACTTAAACCAGGAACGGTACATATCAGATATACATACATTGTAATCAGTGGCGAAGCCAGCCCGACAGTTTGGTCATGCTATGCAAATATTTCCGTGTTCATAGACCGTAAAAACAATCAATTTCTAAAGAAATGAATAATAATGATTTATAATTTGCATAGCATGACCAAATTGTCGGGCTGGCTTCCCCACTGATTGTAATGAAGGGCAAAATTGGATGAGTTGTACAGTCACAATTCATTAATGACTGATACATATGTACACTACATGCATACGTCACGTCGTTGACTGTTACCCGTTCTAAGCCCTAACTTTTCATGGGAGTCGTGAGCTAGACCGCTACACCTCCCCTAAATTTTTTCCACCTCTTCCACATTTCCACCAAAATCCGGCCTTGGCTACACGTAAAAATCTCACATCTTGTAACAAGTCTGCCAGCAAGCCGTCAACAAGATGTATTCGCACTGCTTGTCACAAGTTGTCAGCAGATTTGTAACAACTTGTTTGCAGACCTGTAACAACTTGTGCGTTTTTACGCGTGTAATACTGGACTAACGACTAACCTTGACCATTTTATCCCGCTCGCTGAACGACCAATCACGTCGTTTCTTGGAAACCTCTGCTTCGCTAAGTGCATTGGCCAGTTCCTTCGACAAAGCATCAAACTGCTTCCGTAGAGTTTCGCTTTCTTTGCTGTCACCTTTAAACGTGTCGTTGCGTTGTTTGGCCTCGAAGCACTCCCTCAGGATCTTGTCTCGGTGGATGATCGCCTCGTGCCGTTCACGTCGGGCAGCGTCGCGCTCTTCTCGGAACATGTCGGCATCTTCTCGTGCCTTCTCGCGATCCCTCGTGACTTCGTCCATGTCAGTCGACAACTGCTTCATGCGTTGTTTGACCAAGTATAATTCTTTCATTGCCTGGGAAATAAAGGAAATATTAAATTGATTCGGAAAAAAGTTCTCTGTACTCGGACATGACCTGACCTGTTATTTTTATTAGACAGTATTTTACGCCCAAGCTGGTGTATAGTGTTTTCTTAACCATTTGGTATATTTTACTATACCAAAAGAGAAGAGTGACTAAAACCGAAAGAGAATTGCTATACTGGAAGAGAAGAGTGACTATTAAATTAAGAAGCTTTGTGCTCCGTTAGCATTTTTGACGCTTGGAAATTTCCCAATGAAGTTGCTAAAATAATGATTAAACTTGTGTCTCCAACCTTATCTCGTTCGCTTCTGACGATGCTCAAATCATGATTCGCAATTTCGTTTTCTTGCCCCAGTCTCTCCGCTTCCTCTTTAAATTTCCCAGCATCCTCTTGGGCCTTGTTCAAGTCCTCCTGTAGTTTATCCATCTCTTTATGTACGGTGTCTCGCTCGCTCATCACCAGTTTGTATTCACTTAGCGCGCTGTTTCGCTCCTCCTTTATAAAAATAACGATGAACAACGTCAATTTTTCCAAAGGCATTGAGCGTATACAATTCAATAATTACTTTTTTACCAAAATAAATAATTTAATCTACACGAGATTTGTAATGTGAGAGAGTTCCCAATGGATTACGATCTGTGCTAAACGTTCAAACTTTCCAGCTATAGTATAAGGTTAGTTTAATGATGACTTCACTGTGCCTCTAGGAAAAATAGTTTAGAACTGATAGATCTAGGTTTCCTCCTGTAGTAACACTGGATCAATAAGAGATGATCCTTAGTGGATCTCTAGGAAGAACAGTTTAGAACTGATAAAGCCATCCAATATACTAAGTAAAGTTAGTTAGTTAGGTTTTCTCCTTACTTACAGTAACACTGGATCAATAAGGAATGACTCTATCTGGATCTCTAGGAAGAACGGTTTAGAACTGATACAGCCATCAAGTATAAAAAGAACAGCTTCACTTTACCTTAAGTTTAACGAGTTCCCGCGTTGCCTTCAACTGCAATGCAAGCGCTTGATCAGTTTCCTTCACGGCAGCATCGCGATGTTGTTCAGCCTGATGCACTCGTCCTAATACAACCTCGTTCTCATGTATACATTTATCCAAACTTCGTTTGGTTACGGCACATTGCTGTCTCAAGTAAGCCTTTTCATTTTCCGAACTTTCTAACGCTTTGTCGACCTCGGAATACTGCTTTCTCAATTCAGTAAACATCTCCTCAAGTCCATGATTCTTTTCGACGTTCATTTGCAATTCCAAGGCAAGCTTCTCGTTCATAGCTTTCAAATTCTCGACGTTGTCATCGCCCAGTTCCGAATTCCAAAGCATAGAGCGCTTGCTTCGTAGTTCGTTCATCTCATTCTTCTCTTGTTCGCGTAAAAGAATGATTTCTTCGTAGTCTTGTTTCAACTTCTCGCGCTCTTTTTCGCTTGCGTTCAATTTTTGGTTCAGCATTTGACCTTCTTGAACAAGCTTGTCACACTTGTTCAAACCGACTAGGTGTAGGTTTCGAAAATGTTCTGACTCTCGTAGTTGGTTGCTGAATTTTGCTACTAACTCATCCGTTTGCTGTCGGTAAATGTCGTTCTGAAATGGTGAAGAAGAACTGATTATACTTGTATTAAAAACTGGTTTGGTCCAAGTGTTCTGCTATTTGAAAAAGAGAGTTTTGCTATTTGAAAAGGGTGTTTTGCTATTTGAAAAGGGTGTTTTGCTATTTGAAAAGGGTGTTTTGCTATTTGAAAAGGGTGTTTTGCTATTTGAAAAGGGTGTTTTGCTATTTGAAAAGGGTGTTTTGCTATTTGAAAAGGGAGTTTTGCTATTTGAAAAGGGTGTTTTGCTATTTGAAAAGGGTGTTTTGCTATTTGAAAAGGGTGTTTTGCTATTTGAAAAGGGTATTTTGCTATTTGAAAAGGGTGTTTTGCTATTTGAAAAGGGAGTTTTGCTATTTGAAAAGGGTGTTTTGCTATTTGAAAAGGGTGTTTTGCTATTTGAAAAGGGAGTTTTGCTATTTGAAAAGGGAGTTTTGCTATTTGAAAAGGGTGTTTTGCTATTTGAAAAGGGTGTTTTGCTATTTGAAAAGAGAGTTTTGCTATTTGAAAAGGGAGTTTTGCTATTTGAAAAGAGAGTTTTGCTATTTGAAAAAAGAGTTTTGCTATTTGAAAAGAGAGTTTTGCTATTTGAAAAGGGAGTTTTGCTATTTGAAAAGGGTGTTTTGCTATTTGAAAAGGGTGTTTTGCTATTTGAAAAGGGTGTTTTGCTATTTGAAAAGGGAGTTTTGCTATTTGAAAAGGGAGTTTTGCTATTTGAAAAGGGTGTTTTGCTATTTGAAGAGGGTGTTTTGCTATTTGAAAAGGATGTTTTGCTATTTGAAAAGGGAGTTTTGCTATTTGAAAGGGGCGTTTTGCTATTTGAAAAGGGAGTTTCGCTATTTGAAAAGGGTGTT